ACGTGGGAGCTTCTGTCGGCTTACCAGTCTCTCCACCTGTTCCTGCCGGTGTTGACGTGGGAGCTTCTGTCGGCTTACCAGTCTCTCCACCTGTTCCTGCCGGTGTTGAGCCATATTCTTCTGATTCTGTTATCTCTGATTCTGCCGTCACGAGTGTACTTTCCGTTCCGCCATTTTCAGTTGTAGTGGTATTCTCTTTCGACTCCGCTTGCGCCGAATTCGAATTATCAATCGGCCGTGAGTCGCTTTCCAGACTTTCTGTACGGGTCGCATTCCCAGTATCTTCGTTCTTGGTCGGATCGTGGTGGAAATGATGCAAATGCTCATGGCTATGATGCTGACTGCCAACTGAATCCTCCGTAGGCTGAGCACACTTTAGTTCAGTCGCCTGACATATAAAATACTGCTCCTCTTCGCAATTGTCGTCGGTGACCGTGGTGCCATTATATCTAAGCCTAACCTCCAAACAGTCATCGAAGTTGGCCCTATGTGTCTGCTCGATAGCCGCCGCACCACCGAAATATCGTACAGGACGACCAGTGCTAATATATGTATAACGACCCTCCGTCTGCAGATCATTGCCGCCGAACCAATAGTCCTCCATGTTGCCGCGCGAGCGCAGAAACTTCATAACCGCATCGAAGTCGTCCTTATTGGCAATATCAGCTAAATTGAGGCTCTTGCGTAGGCAATTGTTCTGTGCGCCGTACCAGTTCATCTACAAGGGATTCTACCATATAATGTCTGTATAGTCAATGAGGCTGCGACGAATATAAACCTTTTTGCCGGCAAAGTAATAGCATTTGCCATTAATTTGACGCAAATAACGCTTTCCACAAGGACCTAAGTCACTCTTGTTGTTCGCCTTCGACTTCTTCTGTTTCGTCTTTGAGCCTTTTCCGGAGAGGACATCATCTGGGTAAACTATGATTAGGGCCAATATCACAATTTGCAGTAACCTCATGGCTGCAGGCGCCGTTGTCCACAGACTGTTCCAATTTAGCTTGTTCCTTCTATATATAACCACATTGAGGGCGTGACAACTACATTATCTATGCCAACTATGCTATCTAAATCGCATAATTCGTACTTTTTCAATTGTGTCCAGCGTGCAACTAATTAATTAATTTCAATTCGTTGCGGCAAGTCAATTACTATTACAGTTATGACAATATTTACTTACCTCTCTTCAGGGTGGCTCTTTATATGCTTATGCATGTTTGAGGGTTTCCCGATGTTTTCAGAGTCTTGAAGCGAATTTTGCACTTCATCTCGTCGTTGCGTATTTCAGTGAAATGCTGCCACTGATGCAGCTTGGTGGCTTAAAGACATATTCAATATTTATAATATTTACTTTAACTATAAATAAAATTTACTCGAAATATAATTCACTTTGTATACCCTGAATCCATTGAAAATGGAAAATCAGGGTATAATGGTTTTGTGTAAAAGTATGTAACGGAAGGAATCATCGCAGGCCCCCCAAAGTATATATATTCTTGACCAGGACGACGAGCTGAGTCGACTGTCTGTCCGTCCGTCCGTCTGTCTGTATGAGTGCGTCGATCTCAGCAGATACAAAAGCTAGAGAGCTGAAATACTCGTGTATACCATATGCAGTACGAGTTTCCTTTAGTTTTTCGATAAATCACACGATAATTTTTTTATCGAGAATAATCAAAAAATTGATTTTGTTTCGTGATATACACGGACCAAGGGACAAATTTCAAATCTCTAGCTCTTATATCTTCTGAGATCGACGCGTTCATACATACATACGGACGGACGGACAGACAGACAGGGCTAAATCGACTCAGCTCGTCGTAGGCTGTGAAACAGAAATCGCAGAGAACGTCTAGCTAAAGCAATTGAAAGCTTGAATCAATTTATGTGTGCTTTTTCGAAATGCACCCTTAGTTAGCAGTATTAATTATGTCCAGTTGATAATATTATCGATGTAATATCTTTGACCGAGTGCCCTCAATAGCATTTTCTTCTTGTATTTATTTGGTTTATTAATTAGTATGCATAAAATTTGTTTCCATTTGTGAAACATCCATTATTTCGTGGCGTTTGGCTCGTTGTTCGGGTCGCTCGGCCCCACAGTTGTAGTTCCAGATGTCTTGTCCGTAGAAGCGACTTCAGTGGGCTTCACAGTTGTAGGTGGCTCGTCTGTAGTCATTTTTGTGCCCTCAGGTGGCTCGCTCGACACCTCAGTACCGACTTCAGGGGACTTGTTCGGATCCACGGTTGGCTTTTCAGGTCCCTTTTGCACTGTAGTCGCTACATTATTATCTACGGTTACAGTTGTCGCGTTACTTGGGTTCTCGTTTGATTCCGGTCCGCTCGTCGGACCTCCCACTGGTGGATCAACTCCCTCCTCCGAGCCTTCCGGCTTATCCGTTAACAACTCTTGTAAGTCAGGTTGCTGTCCATCCACGTCAACGCCTGCCTCAGCCTCGTCGCTGGGCTCGCCAATATCGTGATGGAAGTGATGTAAATGCTCGTGACTGTGATGGCGCTTCTTAGTGCTTTCAGCGAAGTCGCAGTACCTTTCAGAGCAGATGAAATATTGTCTCTCTAGACAATTGTCGTCGGCCACAACGGTCATGTTGTTGCGTATGCGCACCTCCAGACAATCATCGCACTTCCCGTGCGCCGACTGCCCCACGAGACTGTAATTGCTGAAGTAACGTACTAAGCGACCGTTGCTGATATATTGAAAACGGCCCTCGGTTTGCAGATCGTTGGCACCAAACCAAAAGTCCTCCGTGTTGCCTTTGGAGCTCAGAAATTCGATAGCACCGTAGAAATCTCGTGGATTGCTCAGGTCGGCCAGTGTGAGGCCCTTGCGTAGACAATTGTTTAGAGCACCAAACCAGTTCAGCTGCAAACAGACAGACAGACAGGGAGAAAGAGAGAGAGAGAGAGAGAGAGAGAGAGAGAGAGAGAGAGAGATAAGAAATAATCGATTGCTTAATTCGTCCAAGGAATTGCTTACCTTTTTAACTGAAAAGTAGTAACACTTGCCGTTGATGCGTCTCAGATAGCGCCGAGGACAGCCGGTTTTTGTTGAGCAGAGTACATCCCTGTGCAGGGCACTCAGCACGGCAATGATCACAACTATGATGTGCTTCATCTCGCCTGACCAATGCACCATTGTGTGCTCTGGCGCTGCTCGCTCCTGTACTTATATCCTCCCCTAGCGTGCAATTGCCAATCCGTTTGCTATGCCTCTCAGTTATATGATCGCGCCAATGCCCTTATCGATCGTTCCAGCTGCCATGCCCAATGATCGACTAATTCAATTAGTTGAGTTCACTCGGTCGGACATTCCGGAAGAATGCTACATACACTTCACTCCAGACGGCGTGCTGTCATCGAAGTTGGTTTTGCTAATGGAATCTCTCGCTTACTGTGTCTGTGGGTCATCCCAGGGGTTAGGCGTTTAATTGAAATCTTCATTGCCAGAGTGCCATTGATAGTTACGCTCATACAAATCTTTAGATCTTTACAAAGTGCTGAAAATAGACGAATATACAGTTCGTTGTTATATTTATTTGCATATACAAGTAACAAAAAATGGAACTAAACAAATAAAACAAAAATAAAATAAAATAAATAAATACAAAATAAAAAAAATAAATCTATAAATAAAACTGCATATTAATTACCGTCCAATCAGATTCCACTACATAAGCTTTGATCTAGGTGTATCATATATAACGAAAACTGGTGCCTTGGGTCAGAGTCATGAATCATTTATTGGGTGCATAGTATTCAGTATTGGGTTTTCTGTATTTGTTGTTCGATATTTCGTTGTTTGCGGCCGTGTCCTTTGCCAGGGCACGAAGTACCAGCTCCGTCGTCAAGCTGACAAATTGTTGTGCTTTTTAGTCTGGTATTGACCTTCGACAATGAGTTAACTTGAAGCTACACAAATTGCGGGGCGAGCGAATTATTCATTATTCACCCGGGCGGGCGTGTGGCGAGCGATTACGATTTCTATGACATCATCAACAACTGAGGAGCCCCAACAGCCGCCGCAGCAGCAACAACATCAGCAGCATCTAAAGTTCGGTTCATCGATTCACAGCTATGTGTGTTGAGTTGCCAATGTGTGTGTGAGGTCTGTGAAAACCTGGTGTGGAACGTAAGTTTCTCAACTGGGATGGCACTTACTCATAGAGCGACAAGATACGCATACATATGAGGGAGAGATACAAATGTATCTGTATCTGTGTCTGGTTTGCTGGTGTAGCTTTAGATGTGTCTGTAGCCTGTTTGTGTTTGTTGCGCTTGAGTTCTGTTGGTCTTGAGTACAGGTTTTATTTATTTATATAATTTTTTTTGGTATTGTTTTTTTCATGTATTATATTTTTGTGCTTAGCTCTTTTGCGCATTATCTGCGGCGATGAGAGTAGAGGCAAGAAGAAAAACACAAAACATCTGAGGTTTTCGACTGTGGCTTATTGTGTTACTTTATGGCCATGTTATGACATTCTAGCCGGTTTTTTTTGTGTTTCTTTTTTTTCCTTTACTCTTACTATTGACCGCAGCATAGCTGAGAATCTGCGTCGTACTATTACGCAAATGCTTTGAGAGCACTTGATTCATTTTGATAAATAAGCATATGGCTTGGTATTTAATGGCAAGTGTTTCCTAGCCGGAAAGTCCTAGTGCTCGCTATTCGTCACATGAATTTGAAAATTCTCTTCTTAGTCAATTGCAAGCAGAATGTTAGTGAAATCGGGGTTGGTTTCAAATGCACATATAGATTAGCTTTTTGATGTTTACCCAACAGCAAACTCGTTTGCTACAAGTTTCTCCATAATAACAATTTTGTATCTTATTCTCATTTCCATTTTTATAATCCCTTTAATAATAATAAACAGCGTATATTGAAAAATTAAAGAACAATCAAATTTTCTTTATTTTTATTTACAATACATCTAAAATTATGTTCAGTTTTCTGCGCATCTGTTAGAACATCAAATTTGGCGTTAATTTCATATACCTCTGTATCCTCTGTATTTTAATCTATTTATATAAAGGCTATTAATATATCTAATATCTATAGTTGTAATATTATTAAATATATTAAATTTTGGTCCTAATTTCCTTTTGTATCTAAGCTCCGAAGCCTCTGCCGAAAGTCCCAAGTTTAATAGCAAACAGCTTTTGTTATGCTCTGACAAGTGCAAGCAATTCTGTCTGTCTGACCATTCGCAGTTTTTTGCTTCTTCTATTCTATTCTATTCACATTTTGCGTTCCAAAAGAATTCCATAATTTTTCCACTTTTGCTTGCACTCCTCGGCGCGTGGTCTAATAAAAATGCTAATTAACATTTTTGTTTGCCAAAAATATCTAAAAATCAAGAATAAGTTTAAAAAAGCGGTTTTACTACTAAATATATTTTTTATAAAGGCATGCCTATTGTTAAACTCGAAAGGCCATTCAGTTTTGGTATGTAAACACTTTGCTTTCCCAGCCGCGCCGTAAGAAAGCGTGAACAAAGAGCTGAAAACTATTGGAATAAAATACCATGAAACGTCATTATGACATCACATACTGTAAATGATTTAAATATTTGCACATTGTTTACTGTATATGCCCACACACACTCACACATACAGATACACTCGGCATGCCATTTTAGAATAGTTCTACATACAGTCATACATACATACATAGCTCGAAAATTGGCGATTCGAGCGGATTGCCGTTGCGGTAGCTTTTAATGGCACACTGTTTCTATTTGAGTGAACGCACACGTCACTTTATGGGAATGCAGCAGCTGAACAGTCTCTCTGGGCTGGGACACTGCTTCCGACGCGCACAATTCCTATTCAATTATAATTAAAATTGTATTTTTTCTCTTGTGTATGAATACAAATTGTTATTAACAAACTGTGAAGACACGTTCTCCAAGTATACATAATTCGTACACATATTACTATTAGTCAGCATTCGATTAACATAGTCTTATTTTTTAGTCGGTTCAACTGCGTGACCTCATCGAGCTAACTTATGAAATGTGGTATGATAGCATCTACATATTTATAATACAAGTCCTACGCAGTTACGCAGTGATTTAGTCTGATGCATTCGGAATCTAAAATCTAATCTAAAATTTGCAACTTCAGAGAAATCCGTTAACAATACGGTATAACGGTATACTAGCGATATAAGAATTGGCATTCAATTGATATCTGCCACGCAAAGTTCCATTTTATTTTCATCTACCCGTAGCTCCAGCCATTCCTTACCAATCCATATATGTATATAAGACATGAAAACTTTTCAATTAAAATTTTGGTATATGCATGCACAGAGCATTCAGTAGTCGTGCACCCAAGTATTAATCATCTTACGTGCTTTGTTTTCGTACACGTTGTATTTGATGCGTTTCAAATTTGTTGCTGCCGCCTCCGAATTAAGCGCCGCGAATTGCGCAGCAGCGGGCTGAGTGTCAACTGGCTCTAATCAGGGTGAGAATCAGGCATGGCATGTAATTACGATCTGATTAGTTCATGCTCGCTGAAATTCCAGGCCGTGTCCAGGTATTTTTCTTTACGCTTTGGCAATTGGCATCGTCTACGAAAAGTTTTCACAATTCACAATTTTCATCGATAAGCTCGGCCCAAAGCTCGACTGATTGCCGCACATTTCAGTCTATAAATTATGATCGGCAATTGGCATAGCCTTTAGTTGTCTTTCAAAAGCTTAACCAAAATGTATCCCAGCCGCCAGCAGCCCAAATGTGCGAAAAGAGAGAGAGCTTGTGTTAAATTGGAAGTTTGTAAAATAGAAATTTACTTTATTTCTTTTCCGACAGCCTCCCTGAAGAGCTTTGGCGATAAGACTGCCAATTTGTTCAGCAAGAAGAAGGATGAGGCCGAGAAGCTGGCAAACGAAAAGGCAGCCGAGGCACAGAAACTGGCTGAGGAGCAGGCCAAGAAGGTCGGACAATCAGTGCAGCAGACCAAGAATGAGGCCGAGCAGCTGGCAACCAGCACAGGTAATTAGATAGATCAGAGGAAGAAAAAGAAAGAGAGAGAGAGAGGAAATATTCTATAAATCTATGATTTCGTAGCCAAGGATGCTGCCGCTTTGGCCGCTGCCGAGGCACAGAAGGCTGGCCAAGTGATTGACCAGGGCGTCAATCGCGCTGCCGGCGCCGTCAATCAAACCAAACAGGCTGTGGACAACACCGTCAATCAGGCCAGTGCCGCTGTCCAGAACTCCAAGCAGGTGGCCGCCAATGTGGCGGAGGCCTCTAAAAACGCTGCTGCCAATGCTGTCGACCAGACCAAGAAGGCGGCCAACGAGGCGATCAACAAGAGCGTCAAGGCCGCTGAGTCTGTGGCCGATCAGAAGCTGAAGCAGGCCGAGAACGCCATCGATGGCGCCTTGAAGCAGACCAGTCAGGCTGTCGACCAGAAGCTGAACGAGGCCAACCAGTACGTGGACCAGAAGCGCGAAGGGCTCGAGAAGAACATCCAGGAGGCGACGAGCCAGGCACAAGAGAGCGCCGGACAGCAGGCCTCCCAGCTGCTGGGCAAGCTGCATCTGGGCCCCAAGTAGAAGTTGCCCCATCCCCCCTTCTAAAAACGAACAAAAGAAAATAACGTAAACAATTTCGTCTGTGTGTAAACCAAGAAAATGCTTTAACAGAATCAAAATGAAAAATGAATGGAAATTTGCTTCAACGTAACAAGTGCCAGTAATGTGATTGCTAAAGATTTATTCAGATATATATATATATATATATATATATATATATATATATATATATATATATATATACTATATGTATTTTTGGATTTTTCATATATATGTATTTGTATTGAACTCTTTAGTTTTACATACTTCTTGCAGCGCAGCTTTTGATATGCACATAACAAAAACAACAAAGAAACCGTTTTTATTGAATTCTCACCTTCTTTTATATACAATTATAAATCTGTTACTTTGAGGCAATTGATATTATTAATAAGAATGTTTTTATATACATACATATGAATGTATATGATTATATATGATAAAAGAAAAGAGCTATGCTTTGTTAAGTATCTATTTTGTTTTATGTAGAAATGTATAATTAAGTACTTTTAACGTTTTGCACAATAAATTACAAAAATGTGTTTTTATCATGTAGCTGAAAATATCGACAATGTTTATATGTTGGGTGATTTGAAAACAATCGTTACTTATTGTTTATACAATTTAATATCTGGAAATGCATGTTTAGTTTTACAAGTGCTGTAAAACGTGCTGCATAGAACAAAGGTTTGTGTCTCCACTAGAATAGATTGCAGTTATGACCTATAGATGGCGCTGAGACGACAAGGAATTTCTGGCTGAAATTTTAAATGATTCGCGAATTCAACCTATAAATGGCGCATATTTTAAATTCGACCAATTGTATAAATTAAAATATGAGCTATAGATAATCATTTCTTTAAAATTCTTAACTGGTCCGAATTTGAATATCGTTGCCTTTTGAGCCATAGGTGGCGCTTGCTTAAACCATGCAAGTTGATTTTTGGCTAAATTTAGCAGAAGGTAAATTCGAATTTTAATGGACATGTGAATTGAATAGTCAAGCTTTTATTTTGACTGTGGTTTCTGTATGATATTAGTTTTCGATGAAATTAAATTCAGTAAGCATAAAGGTCAGTAGAGTTAGAATTTCAGTTTTGCAGAGCGAATGCCTAAAAGTTCTGATTTACAAAACTTTCAAACAAATGGCAGATAAACTGTAACCTATACAAAAGCAGCTGCTGAAACAACAACAACAGCAGCAACAAAACTGCTTTTATTTAGTTTCAGGTATTTTTCTTGACTCTTTTTATTTTATTTTATTTTTTTAATTTTATTTTTTTTGCAGCAGTTGCAGCATGTTAACATTTCCGTGCTCTAAGTTGTTACCCAGGTTTTAATTATGGTCAGATTTTTGCGCTGTTGACTGCAACTGACTTTTGCTCAGTTACAGTCGAATTGGTCAGAACATACATACCTTCACACATACACATACATGTATGTGTATAACATTATACATGCATACATAGAAATTCGCATATTGGAAAAGTGCTGACAAAATTTATGTAAAAGGCGATTTTCAATTTCAGATAAAGTTCGCTTGGCTTTTGATTACCTACGTTTGTGTGTGTTTACTTGCGTGTATGGGTAGTCGTAGCAGGTTCTTGGTCCAGCGTTTCTTTGTTTGATAAATGGGTTTCGACATTCGAAATCTATGCAGTTCCACCAAAAGTGATTGCAATTAGTTATTCTACAAAATACATATACTTATAAAATACGCGTCAAATGAAAAGTTGATTTAAATTTAAACGATGTTAAGCTGTGCTGAACAAAAAATCAAAAGCCACAATGAATTTATTCAAAATATGGCAGCAAAATCACGCAAAAAATGGCCCAGCAACGAGCGACACCTGGCGATTAATTAAAATAACTGTTTATCAACACGAATTAATCATGTTTAAACATGCTCAAAGCTCGTGCGACCGCATACAAAATGGCGTGCAGGTACCGTTAGGGTCATGTTAGCCGCGATTTGAGAGCCCTCCGCGGAAGTTGGCTAATATAAGGGAACGGACGGGAAGCGAAGGAAAGGCGAAGTAACGTCCCTACCGCAGGGCTGGGCGGGAGTGGTGTTCCAGAAATAGATTTAATTTTTAAGTGTTGGTAGCCGAATCGTTTTTAATGTGACTGTGAGATGTCATTCTTTATTTAAATTTACTTCAGTTTATAAAAGCTAAAATAGTTAACTTTTTCTACACAAAAATTATTATATAATAATAATTAATAAATACAAATTAAGTATTTAAGTTTAAGAGCATTATAGCTCCAATAAGTATTAAGCAAGTCAAGGTCAAATCGGAAAGAAATTTATTAAAAACAATATATGACACCAAGTTAGAATTAAAAAGCTCAGCTACTTGATATTTCTGATGTACCTTTATTATCTTAAATATTTTCACCACAATTTACATCAAGTAAAATACATTAGTTGTATAACAAAAGTTATTTCATATTATATTTTGTGTACCTATTACTATATATTCTCTTTAAGTCACGAACTTTTCAAAGGCAGTGAGACAATTTGGAGGTCCTGTTTATGAGAACATCTGATTTTATGCCACATTTTAAGTTAATTTCAAAGCTTAACCAAGGGCGGTACGCTAATCTGAAAATTTTAATGTCAATTACTGCGTCATATGCGACTGTGTGTGTAATTGGAGTGCGTTTATTTTCGTGGTATCATGAATATGATCTAAACTATAAAACGAGCTCTGATTGGGCCCGTTGCTGCGGGGATTTGCCTAACATTTGTGAAGGGTTTGTCACGCGGCTACCATTAGACAGGATCTCAATGGACGTTGACGCGCCTTGCTTACAATAAAAAAGTTAAAAAAGATGAATCCGGTGTGAGTGCGAGAGTAGGAAAGGATAGCACGAGTTTAAAACCCGTGGAGAGATACGATTCGAGGCATCGGTGCATGTCGAAGGACGCAATAAAACAGTGCATCGGGACATCCAGACATCAGGACTGAAGTAGGAGGTTCGTCTGCTTGATTCAACGCCAATTTGTCCCATACGTGTCACTCTAGTCGGAAACCTATGTAATTGTTGCCGCTATAGCTGCCGCATGGTCTGGGCATGGTCTTTACAATTATTGCATTTTGTTTTTAGATGAGTGAAGCAAAAAACAAGTAATCTGATCAATAGTCATTTGTTTAACTCAACTAAATTAGTATAACCAGAACCCATCCAAAATGGGAAATCAGGGTATAATGGTTTTGTTAAAATATATGTAACAAGCCGAGGGAGGCGTGGCAAACATATATAAAGTATATAAAGTATATATATTCTTGATCAGGGCGACGAGCGGAGTCGATTTGGCCCTGTCCGTATATCCTTCTGTCCGTGGAGCAGTCTCGACTAGAGCTTTTTCACTTGTTTAAATAGTGTTTTTGACCGCTTGCCGCTAAGCTCTTTCCTCAGGTATTTTGTAATCGATTCGGCTATATTCAACTGGCCATTTATTGTCAGGGCGGATAAAGCGACTGCTAGACAAAATTATCGACCAATTACCGCCAACCACGGCTATAGCTGTTCTTGATTTTATAGGCTTTGATTTATGAGTTCGCTGTATGCCTGGACCCATTAATAAACCAAATCGTTGGCAGGACTATGGACGAAAATCGCTGTGGCTGGCCGCCTGCTTGAGGAAGTACACAAAGCGACATAGCTCCGCCGAGCAGACATTGTGTGTGGATATGGATAGTGTCATCGATAGCCTGTATAGGATTACCTGTATCTTCCACGCACACTCACGCTCTATATATATCTCTCTTTGTCACTTCCTCTCATTCTCTCTCGTTCTCTCTGTATGTGTTTCTGTCGAGCACTGTTGTCATGCAATTAGCGGCGCTTGGGCAGCTCCTTGACTGAGCGTGACGATTGGGCAGCTGGCGATTTATGGCTGACGAGCGTTTTATAAGTCGCCGCCCAAGGACCTCAGGCACTAACATCAAAACCCCCATTTAAAGCAGCTACGCTTTGCTGCTTAGCCACTAAAATCATTAAGCCAACAACAACAAGAATAACCGTGGAAATAGCAACAACAATGTTGCAAAATAAATTGAATGCTGCGATTGTGCCGGCAAATCGTCCTTCAACTCGTTTGCACAAAATTCAATTACTTCCGTTGGCTATTACTGCCGCACGGTTGCCAATATACATATACCTATATATATATTTATATAGCGATTGGGTAGGGGGAATAGTGCTCATTGAAATTGCATTTAGGCAGCTCAAGCTCCAGCTGCGAACGCATTTTATGCAGCTTCTAGAATTGCCAAAGGGCCAGCCAACCAGCAAGCCAGCCTGAGTTGAGGGGGATGCAAGGTAGGGGTTGAGGGGGGCGGGGGTGGTGTAGCAAGCAAGGTGTGGCACCAAAACACTTTGCTTTTTGATAGACTTTATGGAAGAAAGCGAATTCAAACTAATAAAAATGTAGAAAATACTAAACTTATTTTAAGCAATTTATAATTCTTAAAGTTTTTCTGAATCTGACAATATGAGAGAATGTTATGCAAATTGAGTGATTTGTCCGGAATATATAAAAAGAGAAACTAAAATATATATATTTTCTTCCAAATAGATTACATGTATAGAGTTGAATATACAGTAAAATCCGGTCATAACGACCCACAAGGGACCGTCGATATACCGGGAAGACGCTTTAAATATGTATTAGTCCGGGAAGATTTTATTAAAGAGGAGTGAGCTTTGAAGAAAGCAGATGTAAAAATTGTTGATATCAAGTTTCATGAATGAATTGAAGACTGTAGATTCAATAATGACGAAATGGTTTGTGTCTTAACGAACTCAGAGCAAGAGCAACATTGCAAAGAACCAATATTAACGAATGAGTATAAATATGATTGGTAATACCTGAATACTATTCAGTCAAAATTATTTTGTTGGTTGGAAGCCACCTGCTTTGAAGTCGTATTGTGCAAAACTCTTCCACCTATAACTCCTTTTACACACACACAGATATACATATAAATATGTGCATGTGTGGCAGGCACAGCTGCAACCTGCAGCTAATAGCACTTTGTTTACTTTATTTGTTCGCAGCCAAATCCCTCTACTGCAAACGAACAAAAGAACAACTCGTTCGAGTCGATAGGGAAGAGCCAATGACAACAGCTTTCAGCTTAAGACATACGCAGCGCGCTATGGCGTCCCACTCAGCCCCTGTCACATCTGTGGATAATTGAATGGCCGTATTCGTATTTCGAAGAAACGCCAAAAATCGAATGTAATTTGGCAACAAAGTTTGCTTTAAGCACGGCTCCATTCCAAAAATTCGCAACATCAAAAAAAGAGGGAAAATCAAACGTTTTTTAAATGATATCCACACGGCGCATGGCGCCTGCGCCTGGGCACATGTGGAACGTAATCTGGAACGCATTCGGCTGTTGGCACTTTTAAGCGCCTGCTGCACGCCAAATCACTTCAGTACGACGTCGGCTGGCTACACAGACGCGCCTGACGGAAACGCGTGGCACTGTCATCACCGAGCGAGCGTCGCTGTGTTAACTAGTTAACGGTATTTTGAATTACTAGTGCAAGCAGACAGTGCGAGCGAATGAACTAACTGTAAATACGATTGCAAAAAATTGATAGCGAAGGAGGAGCACAAAAAAGTTTTGCTAGTGGGCAATTCTTGATTTCGTATATATGTGTCAGTGTGCAACTGTGTGTGCTTATGTGTGTGGCTTTGGATCTGGATCTGGTTTGATTAAAGCGCCGCGTGTGTGATTAGTTGTGTGAATTGTTTTTGTGTGCAATCAGCTAATTGACAGGCTACTCTTCCTATTCTGCAATTTGAAATATCTAGCTCCAATGAATGGCTGGTAAGTGCACTGAGGCTCGAAAAGTCTAACACGAAATGCATTGAATATTTTTGTTTTTTTTTTTAACGATTTCAAGTGTTAGGTCCAATGGATTATTTGTTGACTTTTTAGTGAAACGCTTATTGGCTTCAGTAAATCCTAAGCCCTTTGCTCTACTCACGTCAAAGTCATTTAGCAATTTGTTGCCGCAGCACTCGCCTCGCATCCTTTTGTCCGTGCGGCAGTGACAGCGCTTCAATAGCCTTTGTCATTTTGTGCTGCCTGTTTAATTTCACAATTCATTTCATGTCAAACGGCTTGTCAATGGCAACCATACTCCGAGTTGTCAGCCCTCCTGCAAGGCCAATAAACGACCACAAAAAATAAACGTTGTCGCTGTCAAGACGTTCGCATTTGATGTATTAACTGTTTCCCTTAAAGTGTGCGAGAGAAACCCTACAATACCTCCACATGTGTTTGTGTGTAAGTGGCAACTCTAGACGCATAATTTATTGCCTGTCGAAGTGCTGATTAACTCGATAGACCATGTCTCCATTGGATATATCGGCTTTGCTTAGAGGCTTACGCGAAAATAATGTCATTTCATAAACATGTGAATTCATTTCATGCGAATTAATTATTAATGTGTATAAAGTGGTTTTCATACAGGATGTATATGTGTATAAATTTTAATGGTTTTAAAACTTGTTTTCCAATCAATTTCAATATTTAATGTAATAAAAGGTTTCGTATGTTCGCTGATGAACGGCAACAGGAAATACTCGTCCGTCCAACAATGGCCAATCACTAATGTGAAAACCGAGTTTCAGGTTATCCAGTAGTTGAGTTACTAACCTTTTTTCGGAAAACAGAAAACTTAAGAGCTTTTATCAATTCTATTATTGTCTGTTTTTTTTTTTTTTTTTTTTTTTTTAACATACACATATCTTAAGTCAAAGAGAACTCGTTATAAACAACAAATCCTAGAAATAATAAATAATACTTTTTCATTTCTATCAAAGTAAAGGATTATATTAAAATAATAAAAAAAAAAAAAATAACAAAAATATTCCAAGTATAAAGTTTGATTATCACGTCTATTCATTTTCAATCAGTTATTAGATCAAATCAAATTTTGTTTCATTTATAAACTTACCTCATATAAAATACCATAAAATGCTGTTAATTATTTCATAAATCTAAATTATGCCGATGGAATGGTTAACCCTATGTACAAATAAAATTTCGCTAACAAATTGTAAATGCAACTAGCAAATAATTATCTTTGGTGCATATTAAGCTTACCAAACAAACAGATTTATAGCCAAATGTAAATGCCTATTGACAGCTCTGGCTAAAGACTGTTCATTTAATACAACTCGCAGCTGGCGAGGCTTTATAAGCAAAGAGTGAACTAGTTCAAATGGCAAATTGCAAATGCAAATGTTCACTAATTTGACTTACACACTAAGCAGCCCACCAATCCCGACAGTTCGCTTGATCAATGGTGCTTAATTAATAATAATCTGATACAATTGGTGTGCAAACCCACGCACTCACGCTCGCACATACACGCACACAAACACAAATATTGGATGTGGCTGGAAAATGGTATATTAATTTGGCGGAAATGCCGTTTTGAAATAGTTGAGCTGTTTTTGTTGATATGCAAATGCGTTCGACAAGTTTCCCACACACTTCAACACCTCTAGCTGAGCCTGAGTCGTCATTTTATTAGACTGGCTAATTGAGCTTATGGCCCAAGGCCGGCTGCATCGCCGTAAACATAAGCTTAAGCCAATGTGAAGTACTAACAATACTTCAAACAATTTGCTTACCTACGTAAAAAAAAAAAAAAATAAATAAATAAAATAAAAAGTAGAAGAAGGAAAAGTGGTTTGGGCATATCTGGAATTTCTCGCAAGTTTGCGCCGCAACGCCTTCAATGCTCTTCTTTTTTTTGGACGGATTTTTCTGGCTTTACTTTTGCTGACTGCTATTTTATGGTAGCCATTAAAGGAAATTGAATATAATTTTGTTTGCTAAGCTCTTCCATAAACTTGCCAAGTGCCTGGCGTAGCTATATGATTTCTTTATTTTTTTTCTTCCATTCACCCCTCACCGAGCGACTTCTGCGTTTCGGCGTTTCTACGGCAAGGTTTTTCATATTTTATTAAGTTCACGCCATAAAAAGGTCGACCAGGGCCAACGGAGCCTAAGCGGCCTTAGTTTTGGGCGTCTGTTTTGCTGCAGTTCCTATGAGAGTTGAGCGCGTGTCACAAACATTTAGCCAGACACGGCAAAATCTGAGCACGATACAAACGAAACATGTCAATATGTATATCAGGCTCTTATTTTGTGCAACTATCGCTTTCTTATCTTGTAGCCGATAGGGTACAAAAAATTTGAGAGTTGTTAGGGACGCTAAGAAGTTCGTTTTGTAACTTGAGAATTTAATACTAAAAATTTGATTGCTGATGAGACAATAGTTGGAAATAAGTGACCCAGAAATATTTAACTTCTTTAGAGCTCTGCTTTTGGGCCAGGAATAGCGCACTCTCAAAGAATTAATTATATATATTCCAAAAATACTTATTTATAACTTTCTGTTCAACTTGGGCTCTTTTTATACCCTGATCAGGACAACGAGCTGAGTCGATTTAGCCCTGTCCGTTTGTCTGTCCGTATGTTTGAACGCGTCGATCTCAAAATATATAAGAGCTATGAAAACACTGCACGCACCCAACTCTTCGCCATGCCCATTGCTGTCATCCTTTAAACGTCACTTAAATATGATTGAGAAATTTCCGATTTGTAGATTGGGCAAGTTCTGAGTTCTGAGTTCACCTTTTGGGCCGGTAACGACCGACTCTTCTACAACCCCAAGCGCCAGACAAATGACTGATGAACGCACAAGTCAGTCTTGGGAAGGACGTGAGCAGGGAATCAGATCTAGATGGATTTGCTTGGCTGGCCACAATGTAAGCCAACCTATTTCATCTGCATATGTATGTAGCTATCGACCACAACAATAGCATCAGAAGCAGTAGCACCCGAAGACAGCAGCAGCAACGTCTTGGCCCACTTTGAACGCCAATTTCATTATTTATTTAAGTTTGTAAAAGCAAACTTGCATATTCTCACTTGCCGGCGGGCTCTCTGACTAACTTAAGCAACTGCAAATGGGGATTCGAGAACGTGAAGGGAAACGTGAACGCTTTTAGCTGAGAAATGGGCAAATAATAAATTGTTGTTAGGTTTCGGTTCTATTTGTGTATTTGTTTTAGCGTTTGGCTTGGGCTTGGGCCACGTCTTCGGCTGTCGCCACATTGGACACTGCTTTGGCTTAACTCCATTTGTTGGGGCTTATCCAGTTATCCTGCTAGGTTCGCAATCAAATGGAAAAGCATTGTTTTCATTTCATTTAAATTTTGATGGATTGCTTTGGTTGCGAGGGCTTGCTTTGGCTGTGAGCCCTTTACAAGTTTCATTATTATTCATTATTAATATTATTGAAAGAGACTTCAAATAAATAGTCGCAAATATAATTGTAATAAATATTTGTTTTAATAAGAAATATAAATTTGTATTAGTTTGACGGTAAAACATTTTCTTTTAATTAAAAAATGAAATATTTATGAATTTATTTATTCATACTTAGGGGTTTAATTAAGATCAGCATTTGACTTTTCTCAGTTGGGAGAAGATAGGTGGCCAAAGGTTCAAATTTTGTATTTGATCTGTATTTTCTTAGAAGTTTTATGTGTTCTTTAATATATATATAAAAATTTAATATATATAAATATATATTTAAAATTTTAAAGGAAATAATGTTTGTTGTTTTATTTTTATTAAAAACAGAAATAGTTCATTAAAATATATCTTTCAAATCGAATATTGTGGAAATTTTCAACAAATAATCTATATTTATAAGTATATATATAATATATACATATAATATATATAATAATGATACAGTAAAATCCGGTTATAACGACTCCGCTTAAAGCGTCCAACCGGTTGGGCCCTATACAAACTTATATGAAAGAAAATATGAGAGTTAAAGCGTCCGCCGGGTATAGCGACGTAAAATCGTCGGTCCCTTGAGTGTCGCTATAACCGGATTCTACTGTATATATATGTATATATATGTCTGCTGAGCTGAGCTAAGAGTGCGCGAGTTTTTTTTGTGTCTTGTCATGTTGATGTATCTTTGATAAGAAAACAGTCCTTATAGGCCGTGACGTGAAGGAGCAGCTTAAGCAAATGATTTTTGTTGATTTTATTTGGCAAATGACTTTGTCTACCTACGCAGATGCTGTTCATTTCGCATTTTCATTTATATTTGTATGCGGCTCTTGCGAGGGAGATAAGGTAGCCAAAACCATCAATCAATAGCCCAGATAATGTAAAAAGACATTGCTGTAATTTTGTACCAAAAGGTTCCGATGTGTGTGTGTCTTTGCGCATGTGTGCGTGTGCCAGGTGTTGTCTTTCTTCTTCTTGTGGTTACTGATTGTGGCGGTTCTGCTTTGGATGTGGCATCAGGGCAGAGGTCTGCAGCTCTGCTCAACTCTATAAATAAAACCGCAACAGCATTATGCTATGAGATTGACATAATTAAGACAGAGTTGCGCTCAAATTGACAATTGCGAGGGGAATTTCTTTCGCTGATTTGCATAGTTCGAAAAGACAAATGCGCATCTAAGTTGGTAGTAATTTATAAACCCATATATAAGTAAAATATCTCTCGTTTTATATAAAAATTATCAAAAATTTTATAAAAATTAAATAAAAATATATACATATTTCAATATTATTTTTATTTTTTATTTTCGTAAGTTCATTATTTAATATTTTTTGTTTATAAAAGCAATATATGATATTTAAACAAATGTTTTGAATTAATTGTAGTGCTGCTCAAATTGTTTAATTACATTAATTAACTTATTTATTGCATATAAATTTGATACATTTATTTTCAAGTTCCCTAAATTGCTCGTACGTTTAATAATCCTAAG